TTCTCTCTTTCTTTCTTTCTTTCTTTCTTTCTTTCTTTCTTTCCTTTTCTTCCCAACTCTTGCTCTGTCACCCAGGCTACAGTACAATGATGTAATTTTGACTCACTGCAACTTTCACCTCCCTGGTTCAAGGTTCAAGCATTTGTCATGCTTCAGCCTCCAGAGTAGCTGGGATTAAGGGCACCTGCCATCACACCTGGCTATTTTTTTTTTTTTTGTATTTTTAATAGAGACAGGGTTTCACCATGTTGGCCAGGCTGGTCTCAAACTCTTGAACTCAAGTGACCCACCTACCTCGAACTCCCGATGTGCTATGTTAGAATCACAGGCGTGAGCCACCGTGCCTGAACAAACTGGAATATTTCTTAATAGAAATGTTAAGAAAATAAACTTAATAATTTCAACACTATTAGCATACTCAGAATATAATATAAACTTAATAGTTTATATTCAGAATATAATATGAACTTGACAGTTTTTATTCAGGATATAATATAAACTTAATAGTTTCAGAAGTTCAGCTTTCTGAGTGATAAGGTTCACCATGATTCAAAACCTCGAATATCTTTCTTCCAAAAAAATGTTCAAATCTAATACACCTTTTCTTCAAATAAACAAAAATGAACTCTCTTTTTTCCAGTGGTGACGTTTATCAGTTATTCCTAACGCAAATTTCCATTACCCCATTTATCTCACCTCAGTATATGGTAATCTACGAGCCCTGTGCCACCTTATCCATAACATAAAATGTAAAAGTGGAGAAAATAAAGAATATGTTAGCATAAATGCTAAAGTTATTAAAATACAGTTGTATTGCTAACACATCATAAATAAAAATATGGATAACTATCATAATTATTCTTGCTACTCCTGTTTTCTAGACAACGTTGGATATAGTGACTTCAATTTACTTTATCTCAGTTTTCAATGACTTTACTATTTTACGTTACTCTTTCCTGTTTTATTTGATTGTTAATTCTTAGTAATTGCAATATGCACATAGATGATCAGTAGAGTGCCTAGCTTCTCAGTTCTTTGGCACATTCTGCTTAATGATGTTCTACAATCTCTCCACCAGCCATTAGTCTCATAATCTCATGGTCACACTCTAGACCTTCTCATTACCAATATCTGTGTACCTTCCATGTCTCAGTAATGTCTGACTTACTCTTTAAACACTACCTATTATTTTTCCAGGTCACTTTCTCTTGTATCATAGCTACCTATACTACTCAGAACAATGTAGAAATGGCAGCTACCTGCATTGTTCCATATAGCAATTTCTCTGGTAACTTCAGGTTTAGGTTAAGTACAGGTAGTTAGGACTCCAGCCAATTCATGCTGTAGGACTGGTAGTTTCCTTGTCCTCTTGATATCTGTTGGGCACATCCCTACTCTAAGGCCATTGTACTGGTTACATGCAATGTTCATAAGACATATATATTTGCTATTTAAAATAATGGATGTGTTGGGATTTACTTGTTACAGTGTGTAACTTAGACTATGCTGACAGAAAAATAAATTGTCTTCTAGAAGTGCAATGTTGTTACAGCAAGATCTTAACATGTCTCTCTGTGGAATACAAGCCTGGGGGCAAGTAGTGAAGATGCAACTGGCTTGTAGGTTGGTTCCCCATGTCAGGCAGCCGTAATATATTTGACTTAACAAAATATAGCTCTAGACACAGACATTGGAAAGCAGAATTGCAATAGTGTGTATTGGTTACTGGCACTGACAGGAGACTGATGACTTAAGAAGATAAATAATTTATTTATCAATAAGTATAAAGGGGATGAGAGTGAGAGGAAGTGATTATTTTCCCTTCCCACTTTTCCACCTAGCACACAACTAGAAAAAGGTAAAATGGAAAAGCCCTGTTTGTGAAGGTCAAATTAAGGTGTGGACTTCATGCTTAAATTTTTCCAAATGTATTTAGGTGTATAAAAATGAAGCCTGAATATTTTAAAAGTATACTTCAAAATCAGATTTGACATAAGTATACAATCCAAGAAACCATTGTCACAAATAAGATTAGTAATATTGCTATTACTCTCAAATGTTTTCTTCTGATTTTTGTAATCCACCCCTCCTCTGCCTTTCCCAGCACCTGCTAGGCAACCACCGACCTGCTTTCTGTCACTTTTAAAGCCAATGAATGGATTAAAGTGTCTCAGGGTAAAGATCAAGTTAAGAATGTGGAGCCTACTTGAATTTACATCCTTTCAAATATACAAAATGCCTCAGGGAGAAGAGAATAGATATGTGACTTTCCAACTAAAACATAAAAGGTTCAAGGTAGCTGGAAAGAAACAGGGGAAAAGACACATACACGTGTTATCAATCAAAGAAATAGAAAGTTGATATTTGTATCTCAAAACTAATTGTATATATTGTTTCTGGCACAGCAAATGTATTGGAATTAAAGAAATACAATATCTGTGGATTTTTGAGAAAACTGTACTTTTACAAGAACCAGAAGACTGTATTATTTAAAACTAAAAATGTCCACTCATTGCCCCTTAGTTTCCTTGTCTAAAAAGAAAGTTGTCATCTGCTTAGCTGCCAAGGAGTAGTTTCCAGAAGCAGAATCAGAGATTGATAAAGGATCATTTCACACTCCCAGGGTTAAGAAATTGCGAACCCGTATAATTTGACTTGAGCACATCACTACCTACGTCCCCTATCCCCCTCTTTATCACCGCATATATCTCTAATCCCTGTCTTTACAAATGGGACTGGATATTATGGTGATATTGTCCTTGTTTCACTGCAGCATTTGGAATACATATCTTTCCTTTTCAGTTCGTATTTGAAATACATAACTTGTCCTTTCAATTCATAGTCACCAGATCAAACAGAAATGCATCTAGAAGAAATAAGAAAATTACCACACACCACACAGGGGTCCTGGACTTTGAGACTGATGTTGTAACTAGCTGTAGGTTTTAGGATTTTTCCTTTGTGAAGGGGTAAAGTGGAGGAAGACAGTCAAATATTTGAAGAACAGAGGAACACACTGTGATAGTCACTAAGGCTGCTGACTGAATGTGTTTAGCACTCCAAATTTCAGGCATATAGGAGTGCAGGTCCTGGACATTTTCTTCTTTACCTCTTTGACATATTTTCCTAGTTTTATTCTCCTTATATTCTCACCCTCACTCCCCTACATTGGCCTTCTGATTGTCTTGATATCTGCTATGCATATTCCTACTTTAAGGCCATTGCATTGGCCAAGTGCAGTTTCCCCTGCTTGGACAAGTATTTTCCCAGTTACCCACTGAACTACTCATTTCCTTCAAATCTTTGTTCAAACATGATGTCAGTGAGGCACAGAAATCACACTACTTCCCTCACCCTGACATTGTGGATTCTTTTTCAGTTTTCCTTTTTTTCTCCATCACATCGAACAACCTATAATATAAAATTTAACAGTTTCCTGTGGTATTTACTGCTTTTTTTTACCTTGTTCACAATGAAATGTAAGTACAACAAAGGATTTTTTTAATTTGTTGTTTTGTTCTTTTATTTTCCACGAATGTATCGCAAGTCCATGCAATTATTCTTTACATCCAGTAACATTTAATGAATACATAAGTGAATCACATGGTGATTTTTTTAGAAGAGTCAATTATATCGGTCCCTGATATTTGGGTTATATTTCTCTTTTAGGAACTTCAAGGTGAGATAAACACTGAGTGCGTTTAACACTGAGGGTTATCAGAGCAGCCTTAGGAAGGTGAAGTTTCTTTTGATAAGCTGTCAAATAGGCACCATTTTTTTTTTCACCATGGACATTTTGTTTGTCCATAAACTCCTCAGAAATCACTGAGGTTTTAGGGGACATTAGATGACTGAGATCCTCAGAGCAAGTCATCCTGTTGTTATGAATATTAAGAATATCCTTCACACTGCAGGCTTGTTATTTCAAAAACAATAAAACTATTCGTCTTTTGTTTTGTCATTCAAACTGCTAAATTGCTGCAGGTATCTCTCCAGACATGTTAGGTAGAAAATTCATCATAGGTACCAGTGCTATCACTGTAAATTTCTTTTTCCATGCTTGCTTTCCTTTTCATTTGAATGATCCTGAGGCTGTGAAACGACTCAAATCTGGAATTCGGTTAAAGGCATTTGAAAACCTGTGTGGCTTAAACCTGGTCTTTTAATAAGCAGACTCAAGAATTTTCTTTTGTCTATAGAAATTAAAGTAGGCACTTAATGAGACACCTGTATACTTTGGTACTAGGGACATTTGTCAACTTCCTCATTCCATTCTTAACTAATGAATAATTTAATTATTATTTTGATCTTACTGCCCAAGAGTTTAACTCTGTTAGTTAAATGTCCTGTCATGTCTTTGACTTTTGAGATGATACCAATTCTATTGAAATATCACTCATCTATACCATCACAGCTACCGATGACTTTAGCCTATAAGTTAAAGAAACTGCCATAAAACTACTTTTAATTTCTCAGTGCTTCGGTGAAAAGACAATTTCTCAGTCACTAAGGAGAAATACGTAGTAATAGAACAACTGTATCACATATTACAATCCACTTTAATAGTCTATGTATTTGTGTATACCACATCATTCCAAGAATTTTTCAATAACTCAACCTTGTTTCACTTCCTCACAGTAAGCCAGCCAAAGAAACAATGAGAACTCGATGCTTTATGTGTCATATTAAAACAGACTCCCTGGAAATACATTTACATTAGCGTTCTTCAACCTGAGCATTATTGACATTTAGGGCTGAAAAATTCTTTGCTTTAGGAGATTACTCTGTGCATTGTAAGACATTTAGCAAAATCTGTGGTATCTACCTGTAACTGGGTGCAGACAGTTTGGGGCGCAGCTCCCCGCCATTTGATGTGCCCGAGGTTCTTGGCCTCTCTCTTTGCCCCAAGAATGGGGAAGGGGCCCTGGTGGCCTGGTGTGTTTACAGTTCAAGTAAGTAACAGAGGCAAAGAGTTTACCAGAAAGCGATTCATTAAGCAGGGAGAGAAAGAGAAAAGGCTCCCACGCTGCCTTGGGAAGGGGAGGGGAACTGGAAGGAGATATTCCCACTGGTAGAGACGGAAAAACACCTCCCACGTTGTTGTGGGAGGGGGTCTCAGAGGGGCAAATCTGCACAGGAAAGAGGCAGTGGGGTTTCAACTTTGAAGTTATTCCTGCCCCGTTCAAGTTCTTGTCCAATGAGAAGAGTTCCTTTAAACTTCCTCTGGCGTGATTGATCTTTGACTCTGATTCCAGATTGGTTGCTTGGACCCACAACAGAACCCGTCCTTCCGGGGCTTTTGGCGGACTATCTGGACACAGGAAGCTCACCTGGAATTTCTACCTACCCCATGTGAGGGAAAGTTAGACAAAGAACTCTAGGTTCCGGGATAGGGAGGTGGATGGAGGCATGGTGCTGGGAAGTTCTTGCCTTTGAAACCACTCCCCTTGCGGACTAGGGAAGACAGGTTTATTTTCCCTAACACGGTCCCTCAGACCCATTAGAAGACGATTTTACCCTCCAGCAATTTTGAACATTAAAAATGTCTGCAGATATTGGCAAATGTCCTTGGGAGAACAAAATTTCCCCTCATTCCGAACCACTGAATAAATCAATGCATTCAGCCAAAGCCAAATTATTTTTGACTTTGTGGTAAAGGAATTTCAGAATGTGTATCTACTTACATTCTCCAGGTATTTTCTGCTATAAAGTAGTCATATCTGACAACGTTTGTGGTCTGTAGCTCCACTGGCTTCACTGGTCTCCTGAAACATGAGAGAATGTGATATTGGCTATAGACCTGAAGAGCTGAGAGATTACAGTAGAGTTAGATCTTGAGTTTGGCTTTTCCTTGAAACGTAACTTTAGGTGAGGCCACCCAGCATCATGAATTAAGGCACAGGCTGTCTTATAGTCTATAGCAGGTGGAAAAGTTTGGGTTGGCAAGAGAAGTACAGAATTTATTAATTAAAAAAAAAAAAAAAAAAAAAAAAAAAAAAAAAAACTTTTCAATAACTTTTAAATCAATCAATATATTTTTTTTAACTTCTGTAATTTTGTTCTGAAACAAATATACTTTAAAAAATGAGATAGGTTTTCATAATTCATGCTTGGCTTATGAGTAATATAGCTGTGAATATTTTGAATATACTTATTTCAATGACTTTAAAATTTACATTATTGCCATTTCTTGTGATGAAATATATTTTTATTTTTGGAATAACCTGACTCTGCTTTTATTTTAACTAATTTATTTTTTTACATTGAGTTCAATTTTATTGTGATGCA